ATCTGAAGTTATCAATTAGAGTTTTAAAAAAAACAAGACTGCTCGTATCAAGGCGAAGCTTTTAATTTTCCGTCTGCCTTTCAAGTTCTATACATTAATGTTCCATTAAAAAAAAGAAGATTTCAAAAAACAAAAAATAATAAAAATTTTCAGTTTTTTTGTACAAATCATCCCCCCACACGCATTGCTTTTTCAAAAAATTCACACCTTTTTTTGCATATCTCACAGCCTAGTCGATTTCTAGCCTTACTCACGTTAAACTATTTTTTCAAACCCTCGCACTACATTCCTCCCAATGTTTCCAACCAAGTTGAACAAGCCCAGTTTTACGGCCATCCCCCCACTTTGATACACGTCTAACTCTCAACCCATTTATCCCATCGACCCCTCGCGCCTACCCCCTCACATCTACCACACCACAACTACCCTCGCTACCCCGCCTGAACCCCCTCCCCCAGCCTATTTTACCCCCCCCCCCCCCCCCACCACACACACACACACACACACACACACACACACACACAAGCACCACCAACTCCACCCAACCTACCCTCCTCCCCCGCCAACCCTCACATCACCAACCCTACCTGACACTCTCACCTTCCCCCCATAAATTTTGCGGGGCGTTAAGGTCTTCAGAGGGGCTTTTTGTATGGTGAGAGTAATGGGGAGGACACTAGTTTAGAGTAATTTTTGTATAATTTAAGGTGAGTAAGTTTTAATAATTGAGTTTTTTTAAGAGACTTTTTATTTTGTTTGCTAGTTTTGTGTAGACCGAAATTGTGAGGTTGTTCTGTTTTTAGATAAACCACTCTAACCATTTTTAGATCTGAGCGCCGATAGCGTCTCTACAAATGTTTTAGTTCAGTTGCTAAATGGCCGAGAAAAGATGTTGTGAAATAAAATCAAAATGAGGGCCCACCCGGCCTTACGTTTTTATCTGAAAAAGGCTTATTATCTTAATTCACATGTAGAATCTATGAAAAAAATGCTTATCATACAATTTTCATAGAAAAAAAATTGTTTAGCAGGTAATTTTTCAACCGAAGTTTTTTTTTCAAAAATTATCTTAAATTGGTTTAAGTTCCGAACAAAACAAGTGGTGGCATTTTTGGTTTCAGGAGAGTAACTCTAGCTACTAAAATTTTTCTTAAGCAAAAAAATGCGTCTCATACAATTTCATATGATATGCATCTTCCATAAAAAAAACACAATTTTGAGATAAAAATTTTTTTATTCCTTTTTAGTTTGCAATCTTGCTTCTGTGCAGGAATATGCATTTCACGAAACAAAAAACTGTGTATGCATTTGTTGATTTTTTGTGTCTATAACGTAGTCCAGATGAAGTTTTTCAACCCAAAAACTCCGAAAATGGAAACAAGTGATTTTTTATAGACACAATTATTTTCTTATGTTTTTATCTTCTAAGTTAAAAAAAGTACATGCCTTTTTTCTCAACCACCAAAAGTTTCAAATTAGTTTTTGATATAAAACTCAGTGTGAAAAAATAACTTTTACGTAATATCACCGAATGCAGTCTATCTGCGTGGTAACTGTAATTTCTACTCTAAATTTTTTTGCGATAGAAAATTTTTGGTAAGTGTGTTTCGAATGAAATACAATTTTTCTTTTAAATGGTAAGTTCATTCATGGAAAAAAGCGTATCATACAAGTTCGTACTACAGAAAAAATGCTTGTCACACCATTTCATTAAAAAAAAGTGCTCCTCCCCTCACGAATTTGACCACCTGCCAATCCAAAGGGTCCACCCTTTGTACTATTATGAGAAATCTTTTTTAAGCTTTTTAAACAGCTTTTATTTTCCGCTGACCGGCAGTGAGATTTCATGAATAACAATCGATTATAATCAGTTTTCGTGTTCAAAAACATTTCCATTACAATCGATTAAAATTATGAAACCACGCAGTCACTTTGAGAACACGCAGTCAATTAAAATCTATTGTAATCTACTATTTTTTGAAAAAAAGAAATCTAATAAAATACATATGAAATCCATTATTACGGAATATATTGGATTATAACCTCTATTGCTTTTTCAAAAAGTTCGCACCTTTTTTTTGCATATCTCACAGCCTAGTCGATTTCTAGACTTACTCACATGTGAAACT